ATTACTTTTCTTTTGAGACAGTATAACTGTACCATTTGCTTTCATCAAACACATCATAATTTAAATGACATTAATGGTTCACAGTAGCAAATAAAAAGAAACAGAGCGGGGGTAATTAGGTCGCAATAGATGTTTGGTCAAGTCAGTCACCTAGATATGCCAACAAAATCAGGGGCTGTGAGCTGTGGCCCCGGACCGGTCATTACCAACCCCATAATCTCTCCATCTTCTCTTTTTGCTTGCAGGTGCAGTATTGCTGTTGGTCCATGTCCAACACTCAACCTCATTGCTGTTATGCATGTGTGTCTGCCTCTTTTTTGGGGGTTGGTCAAGATGCAAAACATAATTAAGTTTGATGCGTGCGAGATAATGAATGATTTAAGTAGTCTGCTTCCAGCTAGCTTCCTTGACTATATATGCTCACATGTCTTTTGCATGATGATGTGAGTGACACCAACCTGATCGATCATTTCCCAAAATTGCTCTCGGAAAATATTATTATTTGTATCAAAAGGAAATCTTTGTTGGAAAATAAAGTTGTTTTGATTTTGTCTTAAGTCAATCTTTTTATATAGATACAACATTTAAAACACAAAACAAACGTACTATAAAAGTATATTTCTATGGTTGTCTTTTTTGTTTGGTCAAGATGCAAACATAATTAAGTTTGATGCGTGATACATCAAAGGATATACTTCCAGCTGGATTCCTCAAGTGCTTACATGCCTTTTGCATGATGTGAATGAAACCAACCTGATTATACCCAGAATATTGTTAGAAAGGATTCTGGCACCGGAGGAAATCTTTATTGGAAAATAACGCAAGGCAAATACAAATATTTCTTACGTCATCTTTGGAACGTCTCACAGTACTCCTAAAATCTTGTAAAAGTTCTATTAAATTTTTATATGGATGAAGATTCCTAGCTAGGTTTCAAAGTAATATATATCTTTAAAAAAAATCTCATTTTCCTTACGGATTATGCTACACTCTTAAATTAATATTAGTATTCTTTATCAATAATAGATGTGTTTGGTTAATCTTACTGTCGTAGTCGTTGCGGCTGCTGCGACAGGTATAAATGGTCGTATACTCTCTCCGTTTCATATTACTAAGTCATTTGACTTTTTCCTAGTTAAGTTTGACTAAGATTATAAAAAAATTAGCAACACTTAAAATACCAAACTAATTTTATAAAATCTAATATTAAATGTGTTTTGATAATATGTCTGTATTGTATTGAAGATATTAATATATTTTTTTATAAACTTGGTTAAATTTGACTAGGAAAAGTGTTTAGCGACTTATAATATAAAACGGAGGGGTGGTTGATTTGAACTGCCACAGCCGCTGTCTCAGCTTAACACCGCGAATCAGCCCCAATATTTCTTCAGTGGGATTAGTTGTGATGCAGACACACGAAAACTCGTGAAACTTGTGCTCATTGTGACATTGTGTTGTGCCAACAACTGTGGCAGGATTAGGAAGCTGCTTTACACTATTCTGCCATTTCTGAAACACGTCGGCTATTGACGTGTGAGTGAAGCAGCAAGTAGCCAATTGACGGTTGCCACGAACAGGAAGAAAGATGCATAAGGGCATCGATGGACTCTATGAACAGCGAATCATTGTTAAAGCTATACCCATAATTTTATGGTTAGAATTTAGCCACAAGATAGGTCCACATAAAATGAAAAAAATAATTGTTTCATCTCTTGTTCATGAAGTGAATGAGAGAGAAAAAAATATTTTCTTTTTACTTGTGGTAGACCTTAAGCATAAGGTGCACCTTAAACTAATGCTACTTTCCATAATATATTATTTTAAGGTCACCTTTTTTTATATATTGTGGTTGCCCTAATACTACTGGTTAAGCTCAGTCATTGACAAGTACAAGTGAGTGCTTTGGTGACTGATCTCTTTTCATGTAGTCCCTCCACCAAGAAGACTTCGTCCTGGTCCCATTCATTTGGTTCAGAAAATTTCAAATTTAAAAGAGTTTGAAAAAAATAATAGACACTATCTCCGTTCTAAAATAAGTGCAGCCGTGGGTATCCGTGTCCAATATTTGACTATCCATCTTATTTAAAAAATTTATAAAAAAATAGTCACATATAAAGTATTATTTATGTTCTATCATCTAATAATAATAAAAATACTAATTATAAAAAAATTCAAATAAAACGAATAGTCAAACGTTGGATATGAATAATGCAAAACTGTATTTTTTTTACGGAGGAGTATATTAGAGTTAAAAAATAATAGATAAATATATTGAAGTTTTTCAGAAAATAATATTCCAGTTTTTTACTTTGTATTGATATGTCTGATATAGATAAAAATGAAGCGACCAGTTTGAAAGGGATGATGAACTAGGACGGGAACGTGGCCAAATACAGAGCGACCAGCGCTGCCCGTCCGGTTTGACTGCAACAGCACTACGACTACCTCTCTTTGTTCTGCTCTGGGCAACTCGTAACACGTGACAGAGGAGAACACAAAAGAGAAGAAACAGGATTGCCACGTTGTGTGTTGTAGACCTGTAGAGTTTTTCTTTTTTCCTTTTCGTTTGGTCTTTGCATCTGACTCGTGCCATTCTCATGTTAACCTTTCGGTGGTTTTCTGGGCCCACGTGTCAGCGAAGAACACATTGGCGAAAGCGAAATGCGAAACTTCTGCTCATCTCTTTGGGAAGCGGTACGCATACAGCTCTTCCCATTTCTTCGGACATTCATTGAGAGCAACTTCTGAACGTAGGTTGTGTTTAGTTCCCATCAAATTTTCGAAAATTTCTATCATATTAAATATTTGGATATATGCATGGAACATTAAATATGGACGAAAAAAACCAATTGCATAGTTTGCATGTAAATTATGAGACGAATCTTTTGAGTCTAATTACGTCATGATTTGACAATGTGGTGTGGTGCTACAGTAAATATTTGCTAATTATGGATTAATTAGGCTTCATAAATTCGTCTCGCAGTTTACAGGCAAAATCTGTATTTTGTTTTGTTATTATTCTGAGTTTAATACTTTAAATATGTGTCCGTATACTTCAATAAAATTTTGGCTATGGAACTAAACACGGCCCTAGCTATCTCGATTTTCAAACTAAAATTGAATAGATTTAGGAAAAAAGAAGTTCTCCAATAAACTTACTAAACCAAATGGCTGACCAATTTTCTCATTTGCTAGTCAAATCTAGCATGTTGAAACCAATTGTCATATGTGGGTCCCATCATCTGACCCTCTCTAGCTTTCCTCTTGCCCATAAGGGCATCTACAATATAAGTCACTCCTAGATCACTCCTATAATGCCCTCACTAACTAAGAGCACTCTCGGACACTTATCTCCTAATAGAGAGTGTCTCTGGATAGACTCCTCAAAATCTAGGGTCCAAAACAAGTATCCCAGCCCAACCAGCCAAAAAGACCACATATGACAAATTACTCCCGTACCCCTCCCTCCAGCCCACCAACGCCCTCGAGAAAATCATCCGCCCCAGGCCCCAGCCACGTCGTCCAGATCGCCACTCGCCCATCTCTCTCTCCCGCCGCTCTCTCCCTCTCCGCCCTTCTCCCTCCACCCGTCGCCGCCTCCGTCGCGCCCACCGCCGACTCCACCCCTCTCCCTCCGCCTGTCGCCGCCTCTCTCTCTCTCTCTCTCTCTCCCTCCACACGGCAAGTGGCGCACGGGGTGGTCGCGGGTCACAGTGACGGACGGTGCACGGCGTCGAGTGGCGCGACGAACGACGGTGGCGGCATCGAGTAGTGCGGCCCAGTGGCGGCGGTGCCTCCCTCTCCCTCGACATCGAGCCGTGGCGGCGAAGTGGCAGCAAGCAGCGACCATGCGAGAGGAGTGGCGGTGGGGTGGCCAGATCCAGCCTAGGCTTGCCGGATCTGGCCTCGGGCAGCAACGGTGGCGGCTCGTCGGCGAGGACAGTGCCCGGTCGCCCTCCTCCCGCTCCCCTCTCTTCCTCCAGCCGTCGCCGACAGAGCTCATCGTCATCGTCGCCGACGAACCTCCTCTTCACCGCCTCTCTCCGAGATCTGGCACGCCGCCAACCCCCAGCGCCACCTCCACCGCCGGTCCTAGTGCCGCCGCCCTCTCGCGAGGACAACGACAAGGCGAGGGGTGGAAGAGGAACTCTGGGCGTGGGAGCGATGGCCAAGGGACACTCACCCTCGCCAATGCGTCTCCCGGCTCGGTGTCTCAGCAAAAAGGTGGTGAGGAACGCTCCCCAGCGAAGGACCACGCGCCTAGCTAAGGGAACGGGTGCGGCTGAAAAGGTAACGGAGGGCGGACGGCCATTCCCCGGGCTACGACCCTAGGACACCGATTGTAGATGGCCTAACTCTTTAAGTCTCAAGCCACTGCATTCCCCACTGCGTGAGCGCCCGCCATCATCGTCGTCACGCCTCCGCCATCATCCTCACCTCCTCCGCCTCCCCTTGCACCGCTGTCCCCTTTGCTCCACCCCAGATTCCTCCGCAATCGTTATGGCTGACCTTGAGCAGGCTATCCTGCTTGTCTTAGACTCCCCTGTAACGGTCGTCAGCTCGCCTCAGACTCCCCTGTAACGGTCATCACCTCCCTGGTCGTGTGTACCGAGGCGCTCGCCTACTATGTCAGCGCCTGCGACGAGACCCTGCCATCGTCGTTTCTCCATGCACCGTCATCTCCACCTTCGCCTCCATATCGCTGAGGTGTTGGTGCCAGCATGCCGCCGCTGGTGGGTGGTGTACAGCTAGAGGATGGAGGTTTGGAGACAGTGGTTGAGAGGAAGGTGAAGGGAGGAAGGAGTGAAACAATGACGTATGGATCTCGCTATCATACTCGCAACGAAGAGTATATGTAGATGGAGAGATTGTTGGAACACAAAAAAAATATGGCGAGGGATACTTTTTTGTCAACTTGCCAAATGCAAAGATAAAGAGCCTGATTTGGATAGGCTGTTAGAAATACCCACGCCCCAATTAATCACATGTTACAAACATATCAAAGAGAATATAATGACATCGAAGTGCTCTTTGGTCATAAAACACATTATGCAAGTGCTCTTGCAGGGAATCAGGATGCTTGTAAAAATATATTTCTGCAAAGAGGATATTCTAATTCGACCATGATAATTTTCTTAATCTCCCTTTTCTTTGCGTCATTCTTAGTACGAAATCTCAATTCCTTCAACATCATACAACCTATATTCTCGTGCAGTCTCTTTCACTGCAGCTGCAAACTTGCTGTTTTGAGACCTCCACAGCACCCAACCCAACCTTGTTCAGTGCCAACGTACACTCGTGACTTCCCAGCATTTTGGACGTTACAAACAAGCATCCTAAGTAGCAGGAGTATATATGTACAGCTGCAGCAACCACATAATGCCATCTTCTTATTATTGGTGATTGATGGATCAGTTTTATCTACACAGGCTGCATTTTGCAGACTACAGTAGTATACAGTTATCCAGTCCCTCTACATGTTGATTGGTTGCAAATTGCTGACTATCCTCAAAATATTGTTATTGATCGGACTGAAAGGTGGAATGTGCGCTGTATTTGTGATTGCAGGTCATTGCCCCATTGGACTGAACACTGAATTCATGATTGTTTGGTAATATAATTCACTCATCATTCAACTGTTTTACCACTGCGTCGATCGGTAATGCTCCCAATGGGACTGATGACTCCAAACGCTTAAGCATGTCATCTTCGAAATGATCATCCTCTGCGACATCAGAAGATTCTGTAAACTCATGTTGTTGGGGTTCAAGTGTACCTGTCTCAGGCTCATCTTCGGTGTATTCAGCATTTAGGACATCTGGGTTTGATTCATCATTGGCCACAAGCACAGCTGGAAATGAATGTTCGACAACCTGAGATGTAACACTGAAGTCCTCTACCCTTGTAAGAAGGGAATCAGGTGTAAGAGCATCCACTTCAGCATCATCCAACATCAGTGCCACAGATGACTCAATCGCATTTGTCCATAGTTCAAACATTTTAGGTCTCAGTACTTCTCTTACTGCCAAACGGTCATCATCATCAGTGGCTTCATCTGTACAATAAATTGCATGTTAATCTAGAGAGTACAAAGCTCTTGAGAAAAAAAAACTATAAAATAACTGGAAAAGGAGATTTTGTTCACACAGAACAAAAGGGCAGCATGTGGTTTCCATGACATTCGAGCACCTGAGAGTATTACTAAATTAATCGCGAACTAAAACATCTGATAAATCATTTGCAGAAATAGATCCAAAATGCAAACACTGATTGCAGCACGCTATTCTATGTAAAATGTACATGAATTTTAAAGCAATCGGATCATGGTTACACTGCTTCCAGTTGGATCTTATATGGTTGTTATTATCACTGCTTGAAAATTTTCTCCTGTCTCACTTGTGATAAGGGTAGAAAGTTGAGGATACACACCTGAACTACTCTCATCAGATGACATTGGAACATTATTCTTTCGAATTTTTGGAATAAGAGTCAGAGGCTTTGGATATCTGGACTTCCATTCCTTGCCTCTGAACATTAATATCTGCTCATTGTCAAACGACAAAAGAACACAAGGAACAAGATCCTGCATGTACAGAAACAAGAAACTTTATCTGAGGGGGTCAGGAAGTATATACAGGTTTCGCTTCAACTATCTGCAATGACATGAAACAGAGAAAGGCATGGGGATGAGTTGGACCCTTAGTTTTGCTCCAATCTTTTTGTAGTCACTTGGATTCAACCCCTCGCAGTCAATCTTCACCAGATCACTTCCCTCAAAAGCATCTCGAACATCCCTGACAAGATAGATGTATATACCATTTTTTGCTGCAAAACAAAGAAAAAAAATAGGATGTCATTAATGGTAGATTTTGCTTATTTTCGTATTCTGTCCGTTACAAACTTACAGGGTAAGAGGTAAGTAATATACATGCCAGTAACCTCAGTAAATCCAGTATATTCCCATCACCAGATGGAAGACAGATATAACAAAAATCATAGTATTAGCAAACTGTATACACATTGGCGGAGGGTGGAGCAAACTAAAGGACAGACCAAGCAAACAAGCATATTTACAACCTTATCATGAGCATTCCGCTTTAGTATTTGGTTGCCATATTTTCATAATCAATAGTTTTCTTAAGCAATATCCATAAAAAAACAGGGGACCAAAACCCACTCTGGACTCAAGGAGCTCTGCCAGTGTCTATTACTCCATCCGGTCATAAATAATTGATGTTTAGGACAAGATTCAATCGAACTTTCAAAATCCCAATCGCCAAATTTGTTGGCAAATGAACTCCTCCATCAGGGAACCGTGAGGCCCCCTCTTTGTGAGTTCGGCCGGGGACAGCGGGTGAGATCCGAGTGCTTGGTGAGCGAAGCTGTGTGATCTTGAGAGGGTTCAATCCCCCAAAGACGATGAGACAAAAGGGGTTTATACAGGTTCGGGCCGCTGAGAAGCGTAATACCCTACTCCTGTGCTTGATTGATTGAGTGTAGAACACAAGTGCTTGGGGTTGCGAGACCCAAGCGCCAGTTCGCTCGGAAGTTCCTTCTCTCTTACTAGGCCTGGACCTCCTTTTATACCTCAAGGGGTTACCACATAGACCCAACAACCTAACTTTGTCGAGAAGTATTACAATATTTTACATTAAATGCATGTCTTGTTCCTTAACTTGGGGCCTACCACACCATGCCGCCTGACACGGGGGGCGCCCATGTCATTCACCATTTAATGGGTGAAGACTTCTGGGCTCCTATTACACCGGGAAACGGGAGCATAGCTTTGACCAGAGCGGGAGGACCGACTCCGGCTGGGATAAGAGGATGAGAACCTCTCACCATCATTATTTGATGGGACATGTCAGGCTGCACGCCGCCTGACACACGAGCAGCGCACAGGCGCACTACCCAGTCCCATCGGTCATTCGACCGGTCACAGACCGGTTGAGTATACTGCACGCGGCATTAAATGCGGCGTGGCGCGACCGCTTGGGTCGCCATAAATGCGGGTAGGTGGGCACCTATAGGTGGACACCTAACCCACCGTACGTGGTGACCTAAAGAGGGGGTCGGGGGAGCCCGACCCCTAGTCACGGGAGGGGGCGGTGGCCGCCCGACCTCGGGCCCGATCCCCCCTCGGGGGAGGGCCACGTGGCGCCTGGGGCAGCCTTCTCCCTCTAGTCTCGGCCAGGGAGTGGCCACCACCCTACCTCGGGCTCGACCCCTCTCGGGGGAGGGCCACGTGGCATTGGGGGGCAGCCTCCTTCATCTAAACATGATACCCCCGGGCCCATATTACCGACAAAATTTATATCAGAATAAATTTATAAAATTCTACTTCCTCCGTTTCACAATATAAGTCATTTTAGCATTTCCCACATTCATATTAATGTTAATGAATCTAGATAGATATATATGTCTAGATTCATTAACATCAATATGAATGTGGGTAATGCTATAATGACTTACATTGTGAAACGGAGGGAGTAGTAAGTTTATGATATTATGATACAGTAACTACTTTTCGAGGCAAATGTACATACACCATTATTTATGTTGTAAACTAAGCATTTGAAAAACTTATTCATGGTCAAAGTTTTATATGTTTAAGCAAATCTTATCCTAAGCATCAAATATTTATGACCAGAGGGAGTACCTTGCACACTTGCAACACAATCTTATAAATGATAAAAAAAGCAAAATGAGAAACCATGACCAAAAGGAAATTCCTTGTCAATTAGCTCTGGATTCATGGTACTAGGTTATGCTTAAATGGTGTAGAGCAGGGTTTAGGTTCCTTCAGAAATAAGCTACATTTATACTCACAACGGTGTGTTTGTACATGATTGGAATTGATGTCTATCATGCACTGTTTCCTATGGAACATGACACAGGAATAAAGCAAGGTTTCAGTATGTAAATACATCAAGGGGTTCTGAACATCGTGTAGAACACAAATATTCAGCCTAATCCATAAATACATACCTAATTTGCAAATTGGCAGCAGATCCTTCCCTCTTCTTCTCATTTCATCTGCTTCCTCTTTTGTAAGACCTTCTGGGGCTTCCTGTATAAGTTTTGGATAGACAGGAGTAGCTGGCTTCCAAAGCATTAGTGGATAACGAGGCCGGGTTCGAGGGTTGTAGTTTCTTCCACGGTATAAGAAAACTACACCACCTACTCGGTGAATAACCTTTCCGCCTGATTTTTCCTGTAATTGTGGATGTCACATGTCTGGAGCATAATAAAACAAGATACCTGTGTTGGAAAATGTTGAAGTGTGCATATATGAAAACAGAGGTCTTCTTGTTCCACAACATAGAGGGCTAACAATAGACAAGTCCTCCAGTCCAGGCTCATGTACTCTTTTCTAATAAGAAAACATGCAATTCTATTTTATGAACATACTCCTTTGGCTTCACAATATCCATACTGAAACTATTGTCCTACATTATTGCATTTTACCATGAATATAATAAATTTAAAACTTAGGGAATTGGGGGGTAAAGCCACATCCCAACCAGAGTCTTAATTCCCTTATGTACAAGAAAGGCCAAATAACATACAACATTTTTGTCTTATTTTCTGGTTAAGAAATTGTGATGCTATCTTACATTATATATGAGCCATTATGAAGACCAGGAAACAAAACGAACTTCACCAGCATCCTTCTCAACGTCAATAAATTCACTTAAGTGTAAAGAACACAACATAGCATTGAATTGCAGATTTATAAATGGTACTTCTCAACCATTCTGTGGATGGTACCAGGAGGTGGCATGTCCATATTCCCACAGTGCATGAATGCATGTACATGAGCACAATTCAAAAATAGTTATACTTGGTAATGGTAGATACCTCAAGGTGATAGCACAGATTCTTCATATCAACAGTTGGAACTCCTCGGCATCTCACTTTGCAAATTTCCTGGCGCCTCCAATGACAATGTATCATTTCCAACATGTTGTGGGTCAATCCATCCCTTCCTACAAGTACAAAAAAAAAAAAAAACAGAAAATGTATACTACTTAGTTATACTAGTATCAGCAACAAAGTTAGCTCTGCATTAATTTATCAAGTATTCAAGGAAAATGTCCAAGTGGTGCAGGAGTAAAGTTTTCCACAAAATGATTTTTCTTTTTAGTTTCCAGCTAGTTTTGACAAACATGTTCCAAGTTCTGGCCCAATTTGTTATCTCAATGACTACTACAACATTGATTATCATAGATGAAGTATGAGACTGTGGGCTGTGACATGATACTTAAGCAGCTGTGAATCTCAGCAGTATGCATATGCTTTGCACACTCTTTCTGTGCAATAATGGTGGTTGAGATATTTTTTTCAGCAAGGTTGTTGGGTACATGGCAAATTACTAATGACATTAGGTATATGTTATCTGTACAAGGTTCTGTGACAGGATGCTTTAAGACTTTTTTTTTTTTTGGTTGTGAATGAGCGCTTTGTGAGAGTGAATCAGACCTGCACAATTACTCATTGTGCACACACTACTCGAGTTTGAAGAAGCAGCTGCACATGATCGATGATGGATTCTAATCTCTCGGGTGAACGTCCACCCGTTTCTTGCATGCCACCTAAATGATTATGAAAAAATTCCAAAAAAATTCACAAGATAGGTTAATATGTAATATATCACTTCACAAACATGCAAGTTCAAATTCGACTTCTACAAGTTGTAACAAAAATAACAAATCAAACTCTAACTAGTATACGTATATTCACAGTCAAATTTGTTATTTTTGTTACAATTTGTAGAAGTCGAATTTGAACTTGCATGTTTGTGAAGTGATATATTACATATTAACCTATCATGTCAATTTTTTTGAAAACTTTTCATAACCATTTAGATGACATGCAACACTCGGGTGGACGTCCACCCGAGTGTTTAAAACAGTTTCCCGTTACTTCTGGCAGAGTTGTGATATAAGTAACACAGTCTAGCATCTTATCCTTAGAACAAGGAACCATTTCACATTTTATTGGATGGCATGGTACCACCACAAATTTAGAAGCATGACAGGCAGTCATCGCCAGAAGATCTACTACCAATATCTACCCATGTACGGGAACTAGATTTGCTTAGGCATTAATTATGAGTTAGCTGAACCATGTTGCTACCCAATGTGACAACTAACAGAACATGGAAAATCTCCGCAATCCTTCGTAAGTACAGATTATTACAGCTGTTTCGTGAAATTTAAACCAACATGTACACAAATTACTCAGTTTGAAGTACTTCCTGGTTAGATTGTAACACAATTCACTCTAATCTGAACTTCTGAAGTTTGGTCGATTAGCATCAGCAAAGATAAAAGATACTGTAGGAGTAGTATAGTACAGTTAGTTTACCGATGTTGAGCTGGCGGTTGTGCGAGATGTGGGGCTTGACGAGGTCGCGCACCTCGGCGGCGGTGAGCGGCTCGCCGAGCACCTCCTCCCTGCTCCTGCCGTCGCCGGGGCTGACCCTGGCCAGGTCCAGCTTCCTCCTCCCCCTCACCTCCATCATGATCCCGTGCGCGCTCACCGTCCTGGGCGCCTCCTCCCCGAGCGGGGTGTGCAGCCGCACGCCCCGCCGCCGCGCCTTCTCCTCCTTGGTCAGCAGCGGCGCCTTCCCCGTCCACGGCCGGGGCATCGTCGGCGGCGCGAACGGCAGGAACGCGGGCTCCCGGATGGCCACCGGCGGGGCGCGGGGGCACTCGGAGTAGCTGAACCGGAAGTCGAACGGCGCGCCCGGGAGCCGGAACGACAGCCCCGACGGCCCCACCACCACGGCCCGCCCGTCGGCGGCGTCGCTGGCGTCGGCGGCGAGGAGCGCCTCGCCCTCCCCCGCCGCCGCCACGGGTGGGACGGGCTTGCGGTAGGCGGTGCGGAGGTGCGGCGCGCGGAAGGCGGGGTTCCCGCCATTGCCGGTGGTCGGATTCGGAGGCTGGTCGTGGCGGCGGCGGCGGTTGCTGGGGAGGCGACGGGCGGAGGGGAGAGGCGGCGGCGCGGGGCGGCGGTGCTTGGGGTCGTAGCAGTTGGGGAGGGGAGGCGGCGGGGACGAGAAGAGGTTGGCGCGGCCTGCGCGGGAGGGGGATGGCCGCTGCGGCGGCGGCGGCGACATGGCGGGAAGTGGTCAGTTGGTCACTGGAGGGAGTGGAGGAGACGACGTCACGAGGAGGGAAGCAAGATAACGAAAAGATTTTTTTCGTTTCCCTTGTCGCTGTAGCCGTGGGCTACTGGGCCGTGGGCCGTGGGCCTTGTTTGTCTCAAACTAACGGTAGAGTTGAGAATTTGATTTGGGACTCTCTTCATCGTGGCTATCAGCAAGCATCACCAAGAGCTCCCAAATCGACTTACAATCCTGAAATATTAGGATTCAGCTACCAAGTGGATCCATCCTGTTTATGGGGCAAACCAACCAAATATTGGGATTCAATTTTTCGTGTCTTTTCAAGGAGGGGTGGTTATTGGGCCCAATTGATAGTCCCAATTCAGAATTTCTGGAAGTCAAATATGAGGGGGAAATTGGGAAGTGATTTTGTAGGTAGTTATTTAGATTTACTCCATCCATTTTATATCATAAGTCATTTTAATTTTTTTATATATCAAATTTCTTTAAATTTGATTAAGTTTATAGAAAAATATAGAACATCTACATAACCAAATTAGTCTCACTAAATCTAACGTTGAATATATTTTGATGGTATGTTTGTTTTGTGTTGAAAATGTTGTTATGTTTTTCTATAAATTTAGTTTAACTTTAAAAATCTGACTTATAAAAAAATAAAAATGACTTATAATATAAAATGATGGGAGTAAATTTTAAGGGGTTCTTTTTTCTCTTGAGATATGTTTCATACCTTTTGTTTATGTATGAATGGATTTATTCTTCTTTAGTGAATCCAAGAATGGCGGAATTAAATTGTTCAATTGTTAGAGTATGTGAGTGCACGAATACAATATACCTCCGTTTCACAATGTAAGACTTTCTAGCATTGCCTATATTCATTTAGATGTTAATAAATCTAGACATATGTATGTGTTTAGATTCATTAATATCTATATGTATGTGGGCAACGCTAGAAAGTCTTACCATGTGAAACGGAGAGAGTATCAAATTGTTCTATTGCTGATAAGTACAGTAGAAATTTTTACATATTTCGTAGGTCGATTATATCATCCCAAATTGGACCGTGTAACTTTGCCATTTTTTCAGTTTGGACCACCACAAACAACCCGTATTATGAAATACAGAAAAAATATCTCATCAACAACCTCAATCAAATCGACTTTGGTACACACCAGTTAACTTTTCCATCTATATGCATGTCATATTTCACCAGAATGGAGGGCATACAGATACAGGAATAGTAAAGAGAGTTAATTAGGTGATCCAAATCGAAAAATAGCAAAGTTATGGCCAGTTCAAAATAAAAAAGATTAGTTTAATGATGGTCAAAATAAAACTTCAATAATATAAGGCAGTACTTTTGAGTGCGTACGTACGTCGTTTTAAAATGTAGATATATTTTAGGATAGAACTGGGGAAGTAGATCGATATTTTGTGCGTATATAATTCGGAGTAGCAATCACGTTGTTGGTTCGTTCATAGAGAGAAACCATCGAGTGGTAGGTCAGTACTCTAGCTACGCTATTTGTTGGCTGCTGTCAATGTTGTGTACTAATCATATCCCCCGGTTATTTTACTTGCAAGGAAAGGTTAACCCCCCTGTAAGTTCGTAGCAAGTAAGAACACAAAGCGAAGCAACCAACCAAACGATGCGATAACTACAACTATGGTGGTTGTTGATTGGTCTTATTCATGCCGAGGTATATATATATTCATCATGTACTTCTGTAAACAACATCAATATTGATCAAACAGTGCTGCAAATATAATATCAAACATGTTTTCGTGGTTGGCTTTTTTTTTCCCGCCGCGCCGGCAGAACGAAGCCAGCCGAAATTCGTTAAGATTGGAGGAAAATTCACAGTTAGCTTTGATGGCCAAAAGTTTCCATGTCCGAAAATTTGTGTGCCATTCTATACATCTTGATCAGCTAGTTTAGCAAGACTAGCTAGATTTTTCTAGGTCCAAAATAAATTAAAGATGGAGTGTGGGGGTATTTGGGGGCTATTTTAGTGAGCCATTTTGTATATATTTCATATTTAGAATTTAGACTTGCAAAGGCCGGAAGTTGTAGATCCATTGTCAGTTTAAAATATAGACCTAACAAATTTATTTTAGTATGCAAAATCCATATTCTCTAGGGATCGAGAAGTTAAAAGCTTTGCAAAAACAAATAGTTGGAGAGTATTAAGAATACACATAATTGGGTCATCCAATTAAATCCTATATATAAGAAATTTGAACACGCCGTGTCAAACCGATTATCCAACATGCCACATGATTGTTTATGATTTCCCTGCTATAACATAGAGAATGAGCAGAGAGAATTTCAAGCGCCAGTGCTTGATCAACCATCGATGATCACATAAGTGTACATGGGATTACATATGAATATGCCAAAGTGTTTGCACTGCAGAGACAGATGTTTCCTTTTAGACGAATGCTTCAAATGATACGTGGTACCCTCACATAGAATTTTTCTATTGCTCCATAGGAGTCAACTTGGAGATGGCAGTTTCTCATATCCTCTTTTTTTTTTATGATCTTTTCCAGAAGAACAAGAAAACAATCCTACTCACAGAGGACGGGGGAATGTACTCTTTTGTCAAACACTCTTTTGTTGTTGCTTTTGCCAATAAATTAATAAGCTAGACTTTTAGCAATGGTACAAAATTTTCAATATGGTCCTCTGGCATCATTATCTGAGATGACAAAAATGCACATATTGTGTGAATCTGTGCATTGGTACAAAAGCAATGCATGCACGACCTTACTTAAGAAGATACTCCAACCTACTACATATTTGTTCAAAATATAGATTGACATCGGATGGCCAAATGCTTTGGCTGATCAGCCAAAGCTGTCTCCAATTCAGCCAAACTACAATACATATTGGTTAGCTTATTTTGCTTAAATGGCTGATCAGCCAAAGCATTTGGCCATCCGATGAGGCCGTGATAAGATATTAGCCTTGCATGTAGGCAGTTCTAGTTTATCCTTAAATACCAAATGGTGTAAATGGGTAGGACATGCGTGATACATTTCCTGTATTACGTTGTAAATCGAGTGAATAGCTAATTTAGTCTCTCAAGTTTTACCGAATGCTCAATTTAGTCCTTGAGGTTTTATTTTGTCCATATAGGTCCTCTAAGTATGTGTTTTTGCTTAAAATTATCCTTGGGTCCACTTAATATACCATATGGCTATATCTAGTCAACATTTATGTTATAAAATTTCCCTTTTACCCTTAATTTGTGTACAACAATACACTAGAAAAGTAAAAACCAAGATGAATAAACAACATTACAGATATACTTCCTATTATTTCAACATTTGCACATGAAACTTAAGCCTAATGGCTATGGTATACACTTGCAAGTACATAATTTATTTTCGTTTTATATAAATTACTATGCATTATCTAACAAAAAAAATCATTGCACGTAATTTTTTCTCTTATATATGTGAATGAAGGGGGTATAACTATCATTTATCAAGAGAGTAGTTGGTTATATTTAGCCATATAGATTCTAAGTGGGTTCAAGGATAAGTTTGAACTAAAATGAAAACTTAAAGGACTAGTATTGACAGATTGAAACATTAAGGACTAAACTGAACCTCAGATGAAACTTGGAGGACCTCTTTAGCTATTCACCCTTGCAAATCAAGGTATTGCAAAAAAAAACAAAAAAGCTTTAGCCAAGTTTAGTATTAGTCTCAATGTTAAACTAGCATGGCCTTTCTGTCAAATTTGGATGAGAAAATTTGGTGATCAACATTAAAGTTTTGACTAAATCTTCTTGAACATCAAATTTTTATAACCTCATGTGACTAAATCTTCTTGAACATATGGTAGGTTAACATCATGTGTTTTGTACTCATGCAAACTAATACTCTGTTTTACAAAACCTAACTATTTTCTTAGGGAAAATTTACTATTCACCATATTCTAAAAAGGCAATGCCCAAATGTTACTCTCTCAGATTTTCGTTCTCAATTATCACTCGGTCCCCACTCAAACTCCCGCATGGGCCACATTTATCACTTATTTTGTCACGTGGTATTTTTTTTTTGCAAATAACCTCCATCCGATGTCATGCTTCTGGCAAAAACACGGTAATGCCCATGGGCCCACATTGTAAGACCTCTTCCCTACCCAGCTACTCCAACTTGAGAGAGGGGAGAAGAAATGAAGAGGTGGAGTAGCAATGAGGTTGGTGCCAGCCATGGAGTTAGAAGGGCGAAATGAAAGGAGGGGATGGTGGTGGATGCATGCGAGTACGCCGGTGGCGGGGAGAGGTTCCAGGGAAGAGGCAATGCACGGAGGGAACCGATAGTGGTCTGATGAGCTCGGGCAAAGGAGGCAACCGACGCTAATAGCTCAAGTGCAGATTGGCGATGTCGCTTACGTTGTGGTAGAAGGTACTCAACGTGGACTCCTGTCGTGGTTCAGGTGTTGTATCAGTGATGGAGAAGGTTCGATGGTGTCAGCTTGTCGCCAAGGCAGCAGACGATGACGACTGTGGTGGTGACTACTTGGGGACCCCGACCATGGCCATCCTTGAGGCAGAAGATGACGAAGACATGCCTTTGCTGCCCGAGAGCCTCACCTGCAGGGGAGGAGAATTGCCACCATATCACCGAGATTCTCTACGAGGCTAGTTGGCGCCGGCACCGCATTTGCTGCCAGGGAGGACGCAGCAGTGCTGGAGTTCCTTCAATCTCGCCAGCAGCTGCTCTTCTCTTCTCCTCTCTGCTTAGCTAGGGCAAGGTAGGAAAATACTTATAGCTAGGCCCAAGGTTATTTTTCATCTTTTTGCCTAGAGCACCATGTCAAACGGGGGGCTATTTGCAAAAATGCACCACGCGGACAAGAAAAGTAGCAAAATTAGCATATGGGAGAGTTTGAGCAAGTAGTAGGCGGCAAATGAGAATGAAAATTTGAGAGTGGCATCTTGCCATTAATGTTTTTGGGAAGATGGCAAATAGTATTTCTTTTTACCCATTTTTTCATGTATATCCATTTAAAAAAACTACTTACTACGAGGATTATCACAAATTTCCCATCCTGTATTCTTAAATTAATACTTAAAAGGATAATAAATAAATACATTATGCATTTAGAAGGGGGTACTTGTCGACGGGCTATACCAGCAGACAGTATTTGTAGAGTAAAGGGATCATTGGAACCATGGTATATGCGAGATTTGAGTAAAAGATCGTTGGAAGAGATTTTTATATAAGTTCAGGCCACTTAAGTGACAGGTAATAGCCCTACTCCTGTTGGCTGAAGCTAGTCTTGCCTTTATATATCAGTATCTCACGAGCACAATATTTGGGGATGACCTAATGTAGTCTCTATCGACTTGGCGGCATGGAGCTTTCTCACGTAGTCGACGGATAGTGTAGTCTTATTTCTCAAACATGAACTCAATGAAATTGGAGGTAACTCTAGATCCCTCATGTCGGACTCTTAGGATCCAGATTGGGTTTGTCGGGGGAGGCTAATGCACGCGTAAGCGCCAACAATTTAGCTGGCGCGCGCGGGCCTCCTCCCGTTCAGCGTGCTTTTCTTTTTATTTTTATTTTTCTTTTTTTTACGTTTTTGGCGTTCATATCCATGTGCTTTTTTCTTTTATTTTCTCGCCGTTTCTTTCTAATTTTTTTAATCTTTCGCACACCTCTTTACAAATGTAGAGTTGAAAGTTTCTAATTTTGACTTGAAAGTTTTTAAATTTTGACTTGAAAGTTTTCAAATTTTAACTTGAAAGTTTTTAAATTTGAGTTGAAAGTTTTCAAATTTTAAGTTGAAAGTTTTCAAATTTGACTTGAAAGTATTCAAATCTGGGTTGAAAGTTTTCAAATTGGGGTTGAAAGTTTTCAATCGGGGTTGAAAGTTTTCAAATCTGACTTGAAAGTTTTCAAATCTGGGTTGAAAGTTTTAAATTTGAGTTGAAAGTTTTTCAAAAGTTTTAAATTTGAGTTGAAAGTTTTTCAAATTTGAGATGAAAAGTTGAAAGTTTTCAAAATTTGACTTAAAAAGATTCAAATTTCAAGTTGAAAGTTTTTAAATCTGAGTTGAAAATTTTTAAATTTGGGTTAAAAGTTTTTAAAATTTGACTTCACGTATAAATTTCTTTTCAATCTATTACTTAAAAAAAATCTTCGGAAAAAAACAAATCTTATCTTGATTATCTTCATTATCTAAATCTAATGATTTTTACACACTAAATCTAACGGATTAGTTACGCACGCCGTGAAAAAAAGAATCCCAGAAAAAAAATCGCGCCGACGCGCGGTACCGCGTATACGCGTGGGCCGTGGGCCGGAAGCGCGCGCCGGCAGCGCGTACGCGCGAATTAGGATTCTCGAGGTTTGTGTAGGCTTGTCTTGGTGTATGTTAGCTTATCTTGGATTGTCTAGCTCTGTTGGTATGTTGCATGTATTCCCTCCTCCTAAGCGGTTATGTATTTATACCCAACGATGTCCACTTTGTCCAGATATAACTAGTAAGACTAATATGGATACGATCCGAGTAGTCCTTATAGTGCTCGAGTGGAACTTTGATTTTCCTTTCTTATCCAGATCACTTCCTTATGGTGGATCCCGTCGAGCCCAACCCAAAACTTTTGGACATGCTTTATCCATAACCCCGACAATACTCATGGACTTTCTTATTATCCGTTTCCTAGTGCATCTATTAGTCTTATCAAATTTCAACGCAAGATACAACTTATACATAGAGAGAAAAAAGAAAAATGTTTTTAAAAGTAAAGTGAAACATTTTCAATAGTTTGAAATGTAAAATGAGTCAAAAAAATTATTTAGGGGCTAAATACTCCAAAGCAGGGTTTCCCAAACCGTCGGTGCCGGGGTTACCGCGCCCCGGCGGTAAGCACGGTTACCGCGCGGTAACTGTGAAAAACCGTACAAAACCGTGCAAAATTTATCAAAAATTCAAATTATTTTTAAAAATTATTTGAATTTAAGGAGGTTACCACGGTATTTATATTACCGTACCCCTGCGGTAAGCCCGGTAACCGCGGTAATGACGCGGTTACCGGTGGTAAGGGAAACCCTGCTCCAAAGATGTAGTTCGAGCAAGTAAAATAGATACTCAACATGTACAAGTATAAAACTTTAGATACGTGGGATTAACACGTCATCAAAAGGTAGGGGAGGGGAGGGGGGTGCATATATGGCAATGGCAAGAATAGCAAGAGGCGAGCGTAGGTTCTTCCCATTTGGCGGTTGGCAGCGGAAGGAAAGGAGAGAAAAGAGGGGGGGAAGGCCAGGCCAACCGGAGCGAAGGAAAGCCAGGGAGTAATAAATCGAGAGAGAAACGGCCAAAAAAGAAACCAACAACAAGAAAGAAATCAAGCAAGCAAGAAGAGACGAGACGAGGGAGAGAAGGAGAAGAGGGGGCCGGCCGCGGGCGTCGTCGTGTTCCTCCCCCCCTCTCTCTCCTCTCCTCTCCTCTCGATCTCCATCCTTCCTTCCATCCATTCCTCCCCGCACCCTTCGCATTGCTCTCGTCGTCTCGATTCGGTCGAGGATCTCCAGGAAAAGAGGTATTACTACTGCTTCTCCCTTCTTCTTCTTTGATTCTTTGATTCTACTGTTGTTGTTGTTCTTTGGTTCTTTGATTTTGCCGTTGTTTTTGTTGTGTTATTTTGGTTCTTGATCAGTTGATCGTCTTTTTTTCCTTTTCTTTTAATCTTTGTGGGGTTGTAAGATTTGTTGTATATTGTTTTGATTTTGTTCTCTTTTTGTTTTCATCGATGTGCAAGAAATTAATCTTCGTGTTTCCCGTCGATCAGCACTCGATCGATCTTCCCCATGAGAGGAGGAAGAAAAAATGTAGGACGAAATGCATAGCCGTTTCTTGTTCGTGCAACGGCCGCAAGAACGGTTACCGATCAAGAAAAATGAGTGATCTGTTTCTTGATTCCTTTTCCCCCACCAGTAGATGAAAAAAACGGGTGCAATAAATGCCTCCAGCTTTTTTGATACGACCTCCTCTTCCGATTTACGTTTCGATGTCAGATACTGTTGTGTTTTCAGTCGGCTGGGGTTTGATCATCGGATAAGTAAAATGTTTTTTTTTTCTTCTGCGCATCTCGATTGAATATAGTTTGATGCAAATGCGTATTTGTTTTCCTGTCGTCTTGGATGTTAGGAGGAAGCGATATGGGTTGCTTTTCATGCTGCGGAGCGGATGATGTCGGCAAGAAGAAGAAGCGCGACGATCCTTACGTCCCGATCCCTGATCCAGGTTGCTAATCCTCTCTCTCTTTGCTTTTCACCTCCGTGTTGTTTGATCATGGTTGCAAATCGATGGAAGCAGTGAATTCATTCTTGATCGAACAAACTATTGCTTCCAGATTTGATGCAAAATTTTGATGTTAGCAGGCACTGTTTGTTGGTTGAACTTTGCAAAAGGGATACTGTCCTCTTTTATCCAATAAAAAAAGTATGCGTGATAATGTGTTTAGATAATTCTGTTACATTGCACTTGGGTATTGCATTGCATTCCCTTGTGTTTCTTCAATAGATAGGGGTAATAGTAAATAATGCCAGATGGAGGAGGAGTGCCCAAATAGCTAGTTGAATGAATTGGTAAACAAATATGTCAGACATTATTTAATTAGTTGCCTTGAAAAAGTTGCACTTGCATGCAAATAAAATTCATCAATACAAACAAACAGCTTGTTGCCAACCCTGTTTTAGATTATATGATCTGTGTTTTCTTTATCAGAAATCCCTTATCATCATTTCATTTTTTTTTTGTCTCTCTTTCAAAGGGAATGGTCAATTCCTTTTTTATCTTTTTATATTGTATCCTTTCAAATCGATATAGTCAATACAAAACTGCCATTACCTCTAAAAAATTTGTATTCCAAGTTTGTCGACTGGAAATATGTGTGATTTTTTCATCAGACTATTTCTCAGCACATGAGAATCAAGTTTTGAGGTATAGTTCAACTCAATACAATCTAAAACTACACAGGAATGGATAAATAAATAAATTTAACCTTGAAAAAAAAGTTAAAACATGTCTCATTGCATAAATCAGCATCGCTGAAAGCCAGGAGTTTTTCAGCTTAGCATTTTTTTTTTGGTAGCAAAGGGCAAGGAGCCCCCATTTCTATTACCAGAAATGTAACTTGCTACAAAGTTCTTACATCTACTGAAACTGAAAAGACAGAAATGCCAGCATAGAATGATGTGATTTCATTAAAAATGTTCCACACGCAGGTGGTAACTATGGACGTAGCAAGCCCGGGCCCCCAGCCCCTTCGCGTTCTCCCCCCACCAGCAGAAATCTGCCAATTGCAGTACCGGCAATTCCCCTTGATGAAATAAAGGGAATAACCAAGAACTTCAGCAGTGATGCTCTCATCGGAGAAGGCTCGTACGCCAGAGTTTTCTTTGGTGTGCTGAGAGATGGCAGGAGATCTGCGGTGAAGAAGCTCGACTCCAGCAAACAGCCTGATCAAGAATTCCTTGTGCAGGTTCTGACACTCTTTTCTTTCATTCTATATGACTATATCTTGTCAATGTATATATGATGCAACGGACTAGCTTCGTCTCACCTACATTTTTCTTTTTCAGGTTTCAGCCGTTTCACGACTGAAGCATGAGAATATTATCCAACTTATCGGATATTGCGCTGGAGGGAGCATCCGTGTTCTTGCTTATGAGTATGCACCGAGGGGCTCCTTGCATGACATTCTCCATGGTGAGGAATATATAACCTTTCTTTATTTTGATATTACTCTTAGTTTGTCGCACTCATGAAGAAATGCTATCCGAATACTGTAAATGGCATTAGACCAGAAGGATTCAAATTAGCATTTACATTGTCCTCATTGGTATGAATAATGTAACCAAACAAAATAGATTGATTGGCAATTTATGATGTACTATTAGCATTTATATTGATTGGCTCGTACATTATTAATGCATGGCTGATGCGTATCTGGATCATGATCACAGGTAAAAAGGGTGTGAAGGGAGCTCAGCCAGGACCAGCTCTATCATGGATGCAGCGAGTGAAGATTGCCTTGAGTGCTGCAAAGGGGCTTGAGTTCCTGCACGAGAAGGCGGAGCCTCGTGTCGTCCACCGTGACATCAAATCCAGCAACATTATGCTCTTTGACAACGATGTTGCGAAAGTAGGAGACTTCGATGTATCCAATCAGTCCCCGGACATGGCGGCTCGCCTCCACTCCACTCGTGTTCTTGGCACCTTCGGTTATCATGCTCCTGAGTATGCACCCAAACATTTCATGTTCTTGATCTGTTACTCATCAAGTAGGCAATTTTTAGGATGAAATGTGCTCTTATACGACTGTACTTACTGTTCTATTTTGGAATCTGCCAGGTACGCGATGACAGGGCAGCTTAGCACGAAGAGCGATGTCTATAGCTTCGGAGTCGTGTTGCTGGAGCTTTTAACTGGTCGCAAACCGGTCGATCATACGCTGCCCCGTGGCCAGCAGAGTCTTGTGACATGGGTACTGATCTTTCCATCATCCATGAAAACTTTGTCTTGGCTCTTGACAAGATGAACAAACAACTCATGTACTGTGGACTGTATTGACAATATTGCAGGCTACTCCAAGGCTAAGTGAAGACAAGGTGAAGCAATGCGTGGATCCAAGGCTTGAAGGGGATTATCCTCCCAAGGCTGTTGCCAAGGTAAAAATAACTTGTGTTCCAGATGGTTTCTGTTCCTATCAAGTAACACAAATTTCAATGCATACTGATTAGGTTGCACCAGATTTTAAACATGACCATGTTCCAGTTAATATACTAAACAGAACATACTAGAGACATTTTTCTTTATCAAATTGCACAGCTTTTTTTTTGCGGGAAAGTACAATGGAAACTACAATTATTACCTTTTTTTTTCTAAGAACACAAAACATTTTCATCTTGAATTAGGAGAGCATATCAAGCATTTTCTGTCCTATATATACATCTGAACTACTAGTACATTATAACAACAAAGAGTTTACATCTCAAATAACCAAGTGGCAGCCTGGATTTTTTATATATATATAATGGAAATGGTTTAGCCTCTGCCATTAGGCACAGTGGTAGCCCGAAATCACGTATGCCATGATTCTTACCAGCTTGATGGTTTTGGCAACTTAAACAGATGGCTGCCGTAGCTGCGCTGTGCGTGCAGTACGAGGCGGACTTCAGGCCCAACATGAGCATCGTCGTCAAGGCTCTGAACCCACTCCTCAACAGCCGCCCGAACAATCGCCCCGCCTCCTTCACCGACGCCGGCGAGCGATCCGGATTATGAGCACGCCATGACCATTTTTCTCATCGGACTCCGGTGACACCACGACGACGGGAGGGAAGGCTCGGTTTCCATGGATTCCAAATGTGTAAAAATTCAGTGGAAATGAAGAGGGTAGCTCTGCTGCTGCCTGTCTTGTTCTTGCCTCGATCTCCAGACTCCTGTTGCTGTAAATTGTCGCAATCCCTCCTGATTATGTGTTCCTCTCGACCTCTTGTAGTAGTTTGAGAAATGGATGAATATATATACTTCTTGCTTGTCCACTTTTAGCTTCCACTGTCACCAGACAAGTTTTGTTGTTCTGCGTACAATGGGCAGATTAATAATTCTCATCTCATCATTTGATCTAAGGCCGATAAGCGGCCGTGGAAAAATGAACTAAGCAACGAAAAATAATTTATGAGTAAAACTTTTATTTTCTTGTATGTTTTTAGCTGTGTCAGACTGTCACTGCGCAAGACATTGGCACACTGCACTCTGTGTGTAACTATGGCCGAGTTTAGTTTCAAACTTCCAGCTTTTCCATCACGTCAAAACTTTTCTACACACATAAACTTCTAACTTTTCCATCACATCGTTCCAATTTCAACCGAACTTCTAATTTTGGCATGAACTGAACACACCCATCATGTTATACTTCTACTCCTTCACACACTGCACTTTGTGTGTAACGATGTTATACTTCTACTCCTTCCTCTTCCAACAAGAGGATTTCTGATTTCCTCTTCCAACAAGAGGAGTATTTCCAGGTCACACCTTGGAAGGTTAACAACAAACCATTGCAAGTTGTTGAGTGTAAGCTTCACTTCTACTGAAATCATTGAAAGAAGATGGAAGGCCCTAACAACCAGTTTGCCTGAGGCCAATACTTGGTGTAGACCCCAAGCAGGCCAGCAGTACTTTTTGTCCTCCTGGATATACATTTGGTTCAAGTCTTCGAGTTATAAGGTATATACTTCCTCTATTTCAGGTTATAAGATTTTCTAACATTACCCACATTCATATAGGCGTGTTAATGATGGTTCAAGTCTTCGAGTTCTAAGGTATGTACTTCCTCTATTTCAAGTTATAAGATTTTCTAGCATTACCCATATTCATATAGGCGTGTTAATATCATCATTAGCACGCCTATATGAATATGGGTAATGCTAGAAAATCTTATAACCTGAAAGGCTGAAACAGAGGTAGTAACCACTATCCAGAATTCTGTTCCACTCAGTTCAGCTGGTTCCAGATCTGCTAGTGAACTTGAAATCTGACATTCTGAACAGAACTCTTCAGAGTATTTTGCCCATTTTTCTCAATACAGGGCATTGTGTCAGTATCGCACTGGAACTTGTCAAGTACATTTTTTTCTTAACTGAAAATGCCAGCATCTGGGGTATTTCAAAACGGGCAGAGGCTTCCAATTGGAATATATATCATTCACAAATATTCGGGTTCGACCAGTATTCATAATGCTACAACTGTACACACTGTTAAAAACTTACAACAACAAATTGTCAAGACCACCGTTAAGTATATGTATATATATATATAAATTCATAAGTAGAAAAACCAACACCTTGTCTACAAATAAATCATAAACCGTTACAGCCACGAAAAAGAAGAAAAAAAAGGAATGAGAACCAATGTGTCTTCGAGCTTCTTTTGTATTCAAGCTTCAGCAATGGCGGTTACCAATTCGTCAGCAGAAACAGAGGGGGGACGGTCCGTTATGGACCAAAGGAATATAATAGGAGAGGAATGCTGGATGTTCTCATTTGGAAGATGAGGCTCTGCTCCTGCTTGGTTTGGAATCTGGATTGTCACTCTTGTCCGTGTCGGAGTTGTTGTCCCTTTGGGAATCCATTTCGGTGCTCCCTCCACGGTTGTGCTTAGATCTTCTGTCCTGCTTCCATACAATTTATCTGATCAGTATGGCATGAATCATGTGCCAGCTAATATTTGGAGTACAATGCTAAGAACAGAGTTAATTCAAGACTGCCACATAATCAGGTGAAATGTTTCAAATGGAAGTAAAGAAAGAACTAAAGTAAAACATGCATTAAGAAAACAAGGATAAAGTCCTTATTTCCTGTAATACAGTAATACATACCCCACGAGGAATTGGGTCATCCGATTCCAGCATCCTCACAACTTGACCCATCTTTGGTCTCTTTTCTGAATCTGGATCCACACATCTCAGAGCAGTTAAAAGTGCACGCTTGAGAGCTCTTGTCGAAGGCCGGGTCTCTATGGTGGGATCCACCACCTCCTCTGATCGCCTGCTAGCAACCATCATTTTTAGCCAGTCAACAAGATTTACCTGCATGTGGCACAAATCAAAATGTCCAATCAAAGAAGCAGAGAGAATGTTTTCTTTCCTTTTATTAAAGGAACCGTTAACAGGAGACAAACAGCAATCAGCACTGTGTCATAAAATCAAATATTGTAGATGATACTTTATTCTGCAATAGCCAAGTTATGCTATTTTTTCAATGAACTCCGAAATATTAAATATGCAGCAGCATAGTTGTTAGCTGCATTAGGTTTCGGATGGTACTTTCAAGCCAATAGTTGCTACATGTGTGGTCTTGGATAATGATTTGACAGGCTGGCCCAACAATTTACAGCATTGCTAGAAGCTTTTCCAACTCAAGGACAGCTAGGTTAAATTGTTACACTTCATAGCTAGACTGCTCTGAAGATGTTCAGATGGCAATTTATGTAACTTCAATGCCGTAGCTTCCAGGCCAGTCCAATATATCAGGACGCACGAAGGGCAGGAACAACAGTAGTGTCAGCAATCTATGGTTGGATAATGTTCACTTGAAGTGTTGTAAAACAAATGTCACAATGTTGCTTCAGTTAGACTATTGATTATTGTCTGATCTTTCCTTCAAGTGTAGTAGAGCGATGTAGTTTTATTTATCACTTCTGAAGTGAATTGGTAGAGCTCGTGCCATGTTTACCTGGTCAGCTTAAGTAAAATAGAATAATAACAAAATTTCTGGAAGGGCACAGATATCTGCAGCATGCTTATATGTCTATGATGTTGTGCGTCACATTTAAGCAGAATTTCAGTGTCATTATCCAGCCAGTTTAGTATATATAGCCTACAACCTCAGATAAAGGAAACAGTTCCAAGTCTAACGAACATCACAAGCGTCTAAGCCAATGGCATAAACATTATGTCCTGTTATGAAATAGGAGAAAATATCCACAAAAGCACAAGAATTACACAGCACACAACTGCACGTATAGAACAACTTATAGGTCAACATTAAGCATTCTAGATCATAATAAAAATAATTAAACTTGGAGTTAAGAGACTCAATTTGGTGAGATGCAGCATACCATACACAAGTATAAAAGGAGAATGCACATGGATGTTATCAGAACAAATTATTTTAACCAATTTATCAATACCTCATTCGCTGGACGACCATAGTCAACAGGATCCCTCCCTGTAATTGCTTCTAGAAGTACTACCCCAAAGCTGTAAATGTCACTCTTTTCATTCAAGAGTCCAGTGTTTGCATACTCTGGTGCCACGTAGCTGCAATGAGTGCAATGCAACACATCATTAACTAGTACTAGCAATCTAACATTCCGTTAACCATGGAAATCTTGTTCACAATTAACACAACATACCCGAAGGTTCCCATAACCCTAGTAGTGACATGACTCTTGCCAGCACCAAGAAGTTTAGCTAAACCAAAGTCTGATACTTTGGCATCAAAATCATCATCAATCAATATATTGCTGGATTTGATATCACGGTGCACCACTTTGGGTTCAATTGCCTCATGCAAGTAAGCAAGCCTGCAGATAGGTAGTGATAATTCTTCGATTTAGTTCAATTCACACATGGAAAAAACAGGGAGAAGAGAAAGTGAACAAAGTTCAGCAACAAACCAGTTCAGTGTTGTATTAGGAATTTATGTGCTTCAGCTCAGTTATACTCAAATAAAGAGGGATGTCATGTTGTTATGCAAGTAAAATAACAGAAATAGCTCCAGGAAAGAAAAGGTAATGCAATTTGGAACATGATAGGAACATAAGATTACATTGCCCTAAGGCGGACTGACAATATAACAAAAATATGGTGAAGTACTAGCAAAAAGAAATGACATCTCCAGGAAGAACTTACGCTTTAGCTGTCCCAAGAAGAATCTTTACACGGGCCTCCCATGTAAGGGAACCACGGTGACTCATAGCTCCATGAAGCCATTGCTCTAGGTTTCCATTGTTTACATACTCATAGACAAGCATTCTGAAAAAAGCACACAAAGTTAACAAATATGTCTTAGAATTCCATACAAGTATTGCAGTCAAATGAACCTAGAGGTCTCAGAGAGCATGGAATGTCTAGAAGAATATTCTTGCTTGGTAGTACATGTAGCTTGGAAATATGAACATTGCAATAGATACAAGAGAAATATCAATACCTTTGAGTACCCTCCACACAGTAACCCAGAAGCCGGACCAAGTTCTTGTGGCGAACATGACCAATAGCCTCAACTTCAACTCTGAATTCCTTCTCGGCCTGTCCTCTGCAAGTTTACAAAACATCGATTGGAAAAACTTAAAGCTGTCTGATTTGTGGTATTGGAGACAAGAGACAAGGAGAATAAACAAAAAGATCAAACTCTGATAAGCAGGGCAAGACTTACAGGTTATTGAGAAGCTTCTTAACAGCAACAGGAGTGCCATTGATCAGTTGGCCACGATAAACTACACCATATCCACCCTCACCAAGAATGTTATCCTTTGAAAAACGGCTAGTAGCAACTTCCAGATCCCTCAAAGTAAACCAATGGCCCCAGCCTAGGTAAGAGAACTCTGGCAGGCCAACCAAAGGTGAAGGAGCAGTTATTGCATGAGCTGAATTATGCCGAAATGTTCCTGAGCCTCCTTCATCAGCTGACTGGAATCCTAAATCCTTGTCCATGTAACGGAATGATCCTGAGTGGCTCTCATCGCCACGCTTCGATTTGCTTACACCCAAATGGACCATGACCTTGTCTGACTCCTTCTCACTAGACTTGTCTTGGATTGTCATCAGGACTCCATCATGTGCTGCAAAATCGCTTGTTGGGACTTGCTCCACCCTCACTTCCTTGATTTCCTTGGAAATGGCAGGGATTTGGGTGATTGGGATATTTGCCGAAGCCCGTCTAACCCTCTTCCGACTCCGGATCGTGAGCCACACGGTTACAAAGAAGATGACCACCATGAAAGCCCCCAAGACAATGCATATGACCTCCCATACTTTGAGATGCAA